ATACACAGACTGATACATGAAGCTGAGATGGATGCCTTGTATTAAGGGACATTACACATGTACATAGTTTTTAATCAATGTTTAAACATTGTATATGACGAAAATAAATGTTTTTTGTTACTATTACCCAGTAGTGTTTCAGATTTTTTAAAGAGTATTTTTTGGCTAAAGACATTGCCAGTTTTTCCTTCCCACTTATGCCTTTTAGGAAAACGATTTCTTCCTTCTCTATATCATCTCGAATTGAACCAAGAATGGTATAAATTGTTGTTCAAACATTTTAGAATATTTATAGAAGTTATCTTAATGCGAGGACATTTTCTGAATAATGTGCAGGGCTCTCTGTATACAAGATATAAAAACTTTCCTTCACTTACTCATAACACCCAGTGACCAGACTTGACATATGTGAGAAAAGCGAATATGATATTGTCATGAATCAAGTGCTATCAAATTTTTTTTTGATAGAAAACATCTTGAGGAAATTTGTAGATGTTTTATTTTGACTATGATGATGCTTTGATGATGAGGAATTTTACTATATATATATATATATATACTGGTATATGAAACATGTAGGCTTCCGGGACCTTACCTTTGACGATTAGTGCCAATTAATTTTCACAAAAACGTGATGCAATAATGACAATAGTGACAACTTTATTATTATTGTTTATTTTCGGTAAATATTTTAGCTGCTCCCAATTTCTTTCCCATTCTTTCTTCCTTTTCTTTTTCCATATTTTTTTTGGTTAAATTTCATTTATTTTATTAAAAATATGTATCTGTCTCTTATACACATCTAGATGTGTATAAGAGACAGGTATAAATACATACATACATACATACATAAATATATATATTTTAAACGGATCCGTCTGCAGATACTGGGATTCCTTCCAGTGGATGCTTTGTTTATTTTCTGATCGGATTTTCTGTACTGTTCCATTTTAATTTTAATTTTAAATTGTTTTGCATTATATGGCCGTTTGCTGTTTTATGGGTTTTTCCCATTTGCCTTTCAAACTTATATATATATAAAACGATACATATTTACGTATTTAACTGTAATCTAGAGCTATTGGCCTGTATTTAATATACTTCAATATTCTTGCTTTATTTAAATACCGGTATTACCAAATATTATAAACATTAACGATTACATTATTTCATATATATTTTTTAAAGTAAATATCTAAACTTTAACTTTAATTATAAACTCTGAAAGTAAATTTACGTAGATAAGATCAATAAAAATTGTCATAGTAGTTATCCTTATCTATTCATTAACAACCGAAAGGTGCACTGATTAATCTCAGATAAGAAAGTATAATACATACTCCAAGTATTGAAATACACGTCATCGTGTTGGGATTCAATATTTTGACATTAATTATGTAATCATTCCTGATGATTATACTTTTTTAACAATAATAACATTTCCAATTTTATAATAAACTTTATTATAGCCGGAGTTAGTTTAGACATAGGCAAACCTTGCAAAAAAGGTACATCAAAAGACTTTCTATGAATGGATCGAAGCACAAACTCCTTTAGACCAAAAACAGTGCGTTACGATTTTTCTTCGTTGTGGTCAGGTGTGACCGCAAAGGCAACGATATATCGTTATCGGTATCGTTATTGGTGTAGGTGTGACCTGGCTTTAAGTCTAGGAAAAATACAACAATGAAAAAAGGCTTTCAAAGTTAGCGAAGCATACAATTCCCAAGTAAAGGTCAATCAAAAATCACAAAATATTAGATCTCCATTTTTCACTAAGTCCATGCGACGTTTTTTTCTGTTGTATACGTATGAGTAGTCATATGAAGGTACTATATCCCCGACAGTTGGCTGTGCAGCAATGTACCCTTTGAATGCTAACTGAAAACAGGTGAAAATATAAAGACAGCCGACTGTCGGGTACATAACGACTATCTAGCTTTCCACAAAAACATGAGGCCTAAGCTAGGCCTAGTTCAGTATACTGCGATGCGAGTGTGGTTAGATCGTTTAATCAATGGTATCGTGTTATCTTCTAATACAATTAAATACTGTGTGTAATATTTAAGAATGCACCACGTGGGTCGTGCCTAAGAAATTTACTAAAAATGTTACTGTAATTTGCCTGTCGAATTACATTACCAATGTGGTCTGAAATCACTATTTTGGGCCATAAAGACTCCCCCTGTATTTTTCAACCACCACACAAATTTGACCCAACTGTACATATAAGTATGTATGTTATAATGTATGTGTGGTTTAATTGATTGTTTGTGGGTTTTCTAGATTCAACAATGGACAGTCTTTTAATATCCAGTCCTGAATTGTATTTGTAATTATGTTATACTTGTATAAGTAATTATGTTATATTTAATTGCTAAGTAATTTGCTCTATACTACACACTTTATTGTTTGATAGATTGCCAACATGCTGTCAGCGTCGTGTTTGTCTGTTTTTCTGTTTGAGTCAATGTCACTGATTTATTATTTTTTTTATTTTATTTTTTTTTTATTTTAAATTTTAAATTTTTTTTGTGTATATTTTCTATATTGTAAATGCACTGGCATCTTTTTTTTTTTTGCTCGGGCACCTCACTTGATTATATTAGATTTTCATTGCAGCTCTAGTTACTAATGTTGTGTTAATTTCCATGTTTTTTTAGCCTCCCCGAACAAGCAAAGCTCCGGGGAGGCTATTGGTTTTACCCATGTTCTTCATGTTGTTTTCGTCGTCGTCATTGTGGTTTACAAATTGTTGTTACTGGATATACAATGGAAAATTTATACTGTGTACTTTGCCAGCCTAAAATACATGCTTCATTATTATGTTTTGAGGCATCTACCGGTTGATGATTGATTTCAATCTGAGGATTTCCCGTTTTCAAGTACAAATGTGTGCATGTTAAAGAACGCATTACACTCTTAGGAAAAGAGTAGGGGTTGTCTCCCGGTGTACTGCACAATCACCACCAGAAGGACCCCACTGGAAATAAGTCTTCTAGACTTTCGTGGGCTATCCTTGGTGTTTACACTGAATAAATCTAATGTCAATTTTCAAGAACTTTCAAGGGCCTTGAAAATGATTCAAGTACTTTCTAAAGGACTGTACGAACCCTGTGGTATGTAGTATAGGCAGGTAGTGTGCTATGCCTCCTCTTACTAGCCTACACATTGTGGTATCTAGGAGTTTTGAAATGGAGGGGATGATGCTAGTGTGGAGGAAAGTGGGGGGGGTGGGGGTGGTTGTGTGGTGCTAGCTCGAAAATGAGGTGATTTGAAGAAGTGATTTTTAATTACTTTAGCGTAATTATTTTTCTCTTAGCAGTGGTAGTGGTGTATCTAACAGGTGTGTGCACAAGGGGTCTCTCCAAAAATACTCATGCCCCTTCCAGTCTGCTCCCCCACCAAGTTGCTTCCTCCCACCCAGTCGTGTGCCACCCCTCCCCCCCATTCGGACCCCAAAAAAATCACTCAAATAATTATAAATCACCTCATTTTGCGAGCTGGTTCCCATCACTCCCACCCTCAATTTAAGACTCATAGTTACGCCGCTGTTCAGTGGGTGAGGGGGGATGAGAAGGCTGGGGTACATAAACCCCTCACAGCCATAATACTCATCCTACACACAAATTCAAAATGGTTATACATTTTATACTGGAGAAAAATTGCACCTCGGGGAGGCTATGCTTTTTCTTTGTAGCATAAAAAGAGTAAATCTAGTTTCACTTGATATTTTTATTGGTTTTTTCCTGCATTATCAGAAATACAGTAGCTGTTGTTTTTTTTTCAAATTTATTTTTATTTGTGGATCCATTTTCCTATGTTTTTGCACAGGTTTTTTCTGACCTGCACTTTGGTCACTTTCTGTATTCTTCAAACTTGACGTCATTCTATAATTTATTTTTATTTATTTTTATAATTCACTTTTTATTATTTATATTTTTATTATATTTATTTTTATTTACAACCTACAATTATTTGATTAGGCATGTCATTAGTACAAGGTGCATCACGCTGATAGGATTGGTGGATCAGAATGTTTCTATATTTACTTTAATCTTCAGATGGTTTCATGGACACATATCTGGAAAAGAAGCTGAAAGATGTTTAACTGAAAAAGGAAGAAATGGAAGCTACTTGGTGCGGGAGAGCCATAGCAACCCAGGAGATTTTGTTTTGTCAGTAAGAACAGATGACAAAGTCACCCATGTTATGATCAGATCCAAGGTATATTTTCAACTTCATGTTTTAAATATGCTTTCAAAGTTGTAAGCATGCATGACGTCGCCCTCAATCTTACGTTACCGTGCTTGTTTGCATTTCAATACTCAAAGCGGTCTTAGGGAAGACTGTTTTATAGCAATGGTCTTAGAGGAATGACTTTAGTAAAGACCGTCTAATTGATAAAGCCGGCTTTATTTGAGGAGTTAAGACTACTAGTTAAGACCGTTTTATAGCAATCCGCCCCTGTTGTTTTATACTCACTTTTTTCACTAAAAGCTAGTATTGATCCATCTTAGCTACAGTGCTCCTGTGTATTATATTTGTCTATACTTTTCAAGGTAGGCTAATGTTGTTTGGCATTGGCTTTACCCGATGTATGTGATACATGTTTGATAGGATGGTCGTTATGATGTTGGTGGAGGAGAACAATTTGATACATTGGCTGATCTCGTAGAGCATTACAGAAAAAATCCAATGGTAGAGACATCAGGGTTGGTTGTTCATTTGAAGCAGGTAAGTAACATCAGTAAGAATCAGTCCAAACATCTTGGTTCCTATGCTTAAAGCATAGTATACTTTTTAATTAAAGCTTAAAGCATAGTATATACATATACATGTCAAGTTCCTCTTTAATAGCTTCAGCTTTTTAATAGTAAAATGAATATATGCAAAGCAGATATATAAGGTTATATTTTTCCAAAGATTAGTGAAGTTTTAAATTATAAATTGGTTGAAATAGTAGACCACAGTCTGCACCTCATTAAATAAATTTTGCGATTAATGTGCTCCACCCCTAAGGTCACCTATATTTATTATTCCTCAACAAACCCATGCCAGTCTTTCTCACATCTGTTTTTTCCTTAACTAACTCCCCTCACTTCTTCTTACCAAATGTCTCACTAATGTCACACTCATCAATTTTCCAAGTCAAAGTCTCACTGAACGAAAGAATACTGTGATTGCTATAATGTTCACTATTCATTCATTCAAAGTTTATTTCATCAATGCAAGCATGGATTGAAACAAATAGCTTCTGGTAGTCAAGGTTTCATCCAATTATCCAACACACATAGAGTACGAACAAATTTCTGTTATACTGTACATATAATAATGTTAAGCAATTGATAATGGACAGTATAAAAACAATAATAATAATAATAATAATAATAATAATAATAATAATCTAAAAAGGCGTGTTGGTGTGATGGCCACACACAGATTGTGCGGGCTGTTAACGGAAATTTTGTAGTTCTTACAGCAGAATTCCCCTTTTCTGGATAGTCTAGGTACAGGAGATAAGTAGAATAACAGTTATTTAAGTTGCACTTAGTGGTTTATTGTTGTTTTTTTTTTTTTTATTCCAGTAATTATTATATAAGTTAAAGCTAGTCCGCGATCAGCTAACTTAAACACACGAACGCATACCATAGCAGGAAATATTTGTTTCACACACCTGTGTTGTCGCTAATCTGTTTTCGTGTTGTCGAGTCAGAGAGTCATCAGTATCATCAACACTGAAAAAGCAGATATCAATGACAGTATCTAAATTAAACTCATATGCCTGTACTGAAAAGTGGTTCTTGGATAGTGTGTTAATATTTTTTACTTATCTGTCATTTCGGATAGTCCCCATTATATGCGTGACCTGCCGTGTCTTTTGAGGCTGCTATCTTGGTCACATACCCTGAACACCTGGTCGCCTGTGGCAGGGCAAATGTGAAACCTGTTCCATTGTTCATACAACCTAGGAAGGGGGCCAGGATTGTGCCAGGGCGGAGACAGATGTTCGACCTTCAGAGACTTAGCACAGCTGTATTTGCTACCACAAATTAAAATATCATTAAAAAAAAAAAAAATTGAAAGGTACTACGTAAGCTTATAATATTATGAAGTATACGCTTTGTCTATTATTAATAGGTATAGTAATGTGCTGTTTACAACATATTTCTCAAACAAAAATGGTTCTTTCTTTGGCGACATTTAATATATTGCGTACCTTGATGTTGAAGTAAAAACTGCCAGTAAAAATATCAACAAATATTGCATAATAAACTGCTATAGTCTAACAAATTCCGAAAGTGTTAAAAATCCTGATATTACATCAAAATTTTATGAACAACTTAATAATGCTTGTAATATACCACAACGTCACAACTTATTTATACTGGGCGATTTTAATGCCAAAATAAACAAAAATTGCAAGAACGATAGTGGAATTTTCCACAGTAATCTTGGTTCATATGCGTATGGAAAAAAGCGAATTACAATGGAAATGAATTACTTAGATTTGTTGTTGATAATAGACTTTATATAAGTAACACAGCCTTCAAACATAGCGCAAGGCACATCACAACACATACTAGTACAGACCTGACAAAAGGGAAAATGCCTAAACTCACCATACCAGTTTATAACCAGATTGATTATGTGTTATGTCGTATATGTAACAAAACTATTCTCCAAGACTCAAGAACTTATGCAGGAACTTTTACATACAGTGATCATAAATTAGTTTGTTCAAGATTTTTGTACAAAGAAAGATGTAGAACTTTTAAGACCAAAAAAGCAGCTTTTAAAAGCTATAATATATCATATGTCAAAAATCTAAAAAGTAAACTTGAGAATGATCTTGCTGTAAATAACCGTTTGAATGATGCAAATATACGAATAAAACAATTTACCAAATTCTTAAATGAAGTTGCGTCAGAAACTATAGGTTTTAAACAAAATAACAACAAAAGACTAAAGTTTGATTATCAAGTAATTGTGCACCTGTCTGAAATAAGACACAAGTTATTAAAAAATCAAATATACATCTCTCGATTCAGAGGACCTACAGTAGAACTTACAGTAAAGAAAATGCACTGCTGCATAGTATACACGGTAGAGAGTAGCCTCACAAAATTTTGAGTAACACTCGTGCGCGAAGATAAAAAAAATAAAGATAGGCAGACTACCTAGGTCTAGATTTGATTTTATATATTTAGGCCAGAATGTAACGCTGACTTACCATGGCACTTAAAGTATATTTGTGTCATCTGATACAAAAAAAGTAGAAATTATTAAAGACTACTTCGAAACTAAATTTAACCCTGAAAGTGTTACACCCATTGAGCCGTTCATTGGACCACCAAAACCATTAAGTGAACCAATTACAACTGAAGAAGTTGAAAAAGCTGCAAATAAATTAAATAATAATCGTGCAGTTGGTCCAGATAAAATTCCTTGTGAGCTAATTAAATATGGACCAAGCAAACTTCACAAAATTTATGCAGACATAATTAATCAGTCGTTGAAACCCTATATTGAATGCATTGGCGAAGCAGTATTAACTCCACTTCAGAAACCTAAAAAAGAAAAAGGACCGTTAAAAGACATTAGACCAATAATTTTAAGTAACTCATATCGCAAAATACTATCCTTAGTAGCATTAAATAGGATCGAAGAAAAAATTGATCGCTTTACTGGACCATGGCAATGTACTTACAAGAAAGGAAAAAGCACCTCTGAAGTCGTTTGGTGCCATCGCATGCTATTAAACGTTGTATATAATAGTGATGGAGCTACTCAAAAATGGGGATTGATTTGTCATCTGCGTTCAATTCAATCGACAGGGAAACAACACTTAAACTTCTTCAACAAGCTGGATGTACTGAAAGGGAAATTAAACTTACCGTATACGATATTTATTATCAAACACTAAAACTTAATATTAAAAATCAGAATCAACAAGTTTGATAAGTTTGGTCGGGTCCTTCCAAGGAGACAGTTTATCAGGCAAACTGTTCACCCTCAATTTTGCAGGAGCATTAATTGAATTACATTCTGTTTTAAGTGAGCCTCATCCTCCAATCTCTTGCAATCACTTACCTCTCGAAACTATTTATGCTGATGACCTTGATAAAATAAAAGAGTGTAGCATTGAAGAACTTAAAAATACTTTTAACCAGTAGTTACTGAAGAACTTAAAAAATGGCGTCTTTTTGTATATGAAGAGAAAACCGACTTTGTTACCTTTCAAATAGACGATGAGAGAAAAACTGAATTGAGAGCTCAAAAATTACTTGGTTCAATAATTGACACTGACAAAGACTTGAAAATAGAATTACTCTTGCTAGCATTGCATTTGATAAATACCTGAAAGCGTGGAAAAAAAGTAATATATCCTTAAAATGTAAAATATTAGTTTATGATGCACTTGTTGTTTCTATTCTTTTGTATAATTGTTCAAGTTGGGCAACAATGTGCAAATGTTTTGAAAAAATTGACGTATGTCATCGTAAACACCTTAGGAAAATCTATATATTACCCAAAAATTATCAGCAATATTTCACTATACGAGATTACTAATACTGAACCACTTTCAAATCGAATAAATACAGTAGATCCCGATGGAATATGTTATATGTTGTTATGTCACGTCTTGAGAACCACTGAATTTTCACCGGCCATTCAATCATTTAAGTTTTCACTTACATGTATGCTCGTAGCCGAGTTGGTAGACACAGATCAAATCTCGTCACTACTACAAAACGATTTAAGTCAGCATAATCTGAAATTAAAAAACCTAAAATATCTTGAAAATCTTATGCAACTTGCCGCAAACAAGCAATGTTGGACCCTGAGATTTTTTAAGTGATACAATTGAAAGTTATTTATTTATAGTTAGTTTTAAAGTATGTACAACTTATTGAAACTGTTTTTCTTTTTCTCTTGTATCAGTGATCAGAGATATATTCATATATTTTTGGAAAACAATAGTTTAATAATAATAATAATAATAATTAGAGGGCACTCGGAGAGTGCATACCTCCGCCCACATCATAATTCTCCTCAGTAGAAATTTCCTCCACATATTGTTCCCCATAAAAAAGAAAAAAATGAAAAAAGTAACCATTCCCCCACTTATTGTCCCTATAAAAAAAAAAAAAAAAAACCAGGTAGAATCCTAAGGATTCGAACCCAGGTCTGGTAGTGTTAAAACACTCTTTTAATCACTAAACTGTTTTCACATATATCACTTTGAAATTAATGGTCATATGTTTGTTTGCACTTTACCGGCAAGCCCATATTAGCACACGTCGCACACATCTATATGGCAAACAGTTACGCAAGGTTTTCGACCATTGTGTCTTTGACCCTTCAAAATTAAATGAGTTCTAGATCTTAGGTAAAGGAACATTGTGGCCAAGTTTGATGAATTTCTGATAAATAATATGGGCTGTAGGCTGTTCTCAACAAATATGCCAACAGACAAATAAATAGCTAAATATAAAAATAGGCTCCCAGCGGGAGCGTGTGTCTACTGCCTTATACAAGAGTTTTTGTTTTTTTAATTTTATCTTGTGTTCTTCAATATGCAGATGTGTGTATAATTGTAGTGTATCTGGATTTTTCATTAAAATTTTCTTTCATATTAACAATATTCTGTGTAGGCTTACTACTATATTACACTAAAAACAATTTAAAAATGAGTAACTCCTGTAGTTACGTTATGTTGTTGATCACAAATAGTACTACCATGATGTAGAGGGAGTCCTTCAAAGACTGTAAAAGACGTTCGTGGCGAACATGTGCTGCGTCTCTTTAACGCGTGTTCGAGTTGCGAACGCAGTTTTGTTCGAGTTCCGAACGCTATTCGATTGTCAATAGAGCGCCCGCTACCAGTAGTACTCATCATGCCTAAACCGGAATTACACTTTTCCGCCATCTTTAATTGCTACATCATGACATAGTGTCTACGCCCCCGTTGGGGCCAGTAGACACAAAAAACCAGGCGAAAGCATAACCTCTTATTATAATAATAATAATAATCATAATAATAGTAATTAATAGCATAATAATAGCCTTTGGTATAGCAAGATTCTGACCATTTTCAAACCTGGTATTTCTTGAATGTTCAACTGTGTTAAAATAATGATTGAGCTGATGCCTACAAACATTACCTTTTCGGCTTCATTACCTTTTCGGCAAACATAAGTTGTTTATCCTTTACAAATATATTACCAATGCTAGAGGCCTGCTTACTCTTTATGAAAAATAAATAATTTGTTTTACTTGCATTAATAGTTAATATTATTACTGTAAATTTGTATGCTATAATTTTGCAGCCATTCAATGCAACACGTATATCTGCAGCAGGCATAAAAGATAGAGTGGATGTCTTAGAAAGAGAAATGAGATCAGCTAAGGAAGAAAACTCAAAAGCTGGATTTGAAGAAGAGTTTGAGGTGGTTATATTTTATTATTCAAAATAACGTTTGGTTTTGAGCACATATAGTGTTGCACATTATTCAAGGTCTCTAATAATAGTGTAAAAAAAAAGGTATTGCTTTAAAGCATCTTGTAAGTAGCATTAAAATAACTGTTGTGTACATGGTAATGATTGTTGTACACATTAACTATATATATACATGTGGGTGTGTATGTGTATATATATATATATTTATATGTATACAATATAAATGAATAGATAAATAATATTAATGAATAACAGTGAGTGTGTTCTAAAGTTTCTTTTAATGAAGATTCAATAATTTAATAATGTAATTTAATAATAATTTAATGAAGGTTCAATAATGAATATCAGTGCTCGAATAGGAACTAGATGTTACAATCGTAGCAAGCACCAAGCATAGCCCGCGCATTATATTATTATTATTATGCTTTAAAATTCCCCCTTTTTCAGCTGGTCTTTCTCAAACCCTGTCTCTTATACACATCTAAAATTCAAAAAGCAACCACTAAAATGTAAAGGTAAGTAAAGGGCCAAAAATAGAACCAGAGTTTTGGGGAACACTGTTCTTTCCTTTAGTATATATCAAGTTGTTAATAAGTAGTACTTGATAAATTACACTAACGTATGCCCATTTGTGAAACCTTGGGTCATTAAAATACTGGTTAATTAATGATGTCTATTTCTGATGTTCCAAATACAATATGTGTTGGTAAACAATAAATCAATAATTTTGGGTTCAAAATTCTAGAATTTAAGTTATAATAATATAAAGAGATAAAAATTGCAATGCAATTCTTATGAAGTGTTATTTGTGTATGTATTTTTCAAATAAGTATTCAGAAAAATGTATTGTGATTCGAAGTGTTAAAAATTTAGCAGAATAAAAGCGAAACTACAGTACTTGACAATTAGATAGCAAACTGTTATATTAAAGGAAACAAGAGGAGGAAGTTATAAAGGAAATAGTGAATAGTGATGAGCCTCACCTTACAAGATAAATAGTCCAATGATTATAGCACTGATCACCTCTTTTCCACTGCATACAAGAATTGACATACTATTGTGCAAACAGATTTTGTATGATGCACCAAAAAGAGAAGTCCAAAAAAGATTCACTATTTAACATATTTATTCACTCATTATTTATATATAATATAATGTATTTTACATCTTCCAATTATATGTAAATAATTGCATTTTCATTATTTATATATAATGTGTTGATTGATTTCATTTATATATAATTTAATAATAAGAAAATGGTAACCAGTCTTTATTTATAATAAGTTTACTGGTTTGTTATATCAAATTTAACAAGTGTTAATATATCATGAAGTTATACTGTGATAATATTTTTTAAAAAATACAGGAGATTTTTTTATATATTTTTTGAGTAGTAAATTAGTGCAAATCAGAAAAGCAGAATATTTGCTGACATAAAAGATCGGCTCATTAAGCCTCATAATGGGAGTTGTAAAGTATGTGTATATTGTCTTATGAAAGGAACCTTAGTGTAGGATATATATTTCACTATTGACAGTCCTTGGCCCATGTGCCTAAATACATAAATTTAAAACATGATCAATCATGTTAGTTAGCTGAAAATGTTTTTATCATCAGTCTGCTTTTCTGAACTAGATTGTTTGTACTTATCTACATTTATTTTAAATCAATTGCATACTACAACTTTACAAGCAAACATTTGTAAGTCTGATCTCTAAACTTCTGAATAATTTCTTTTATTTTAATTTTGGCAGGTTTTGCAGCAAATGGAATGCAAGTACTTGCTACCAAGAAAGGTTGGGGCAAGACCTGAAAACAAAGCTAAGAATAGATACAAGAATATATTGCCATGTAAGATTTCAAACAATCTTATTGTAGTGCACATCGTATAAAATGTATTATGTATCATTAGTTAATTCCAATATTCATTTAAACATTTAAACTTTAGTATCTTACCACTTTCAAATTGATATGTTTAAAATGTTGTTGAAGATAATAAAGTACAATTTTATTTCAGTGTGAACCTTTTCAATTATTATAAACAAATATTAAATATAAATAATTAATATAAATTGTAGTTAATGTAATGTTTCTGCTTTTTAAATTTTTAACAACACTTTCATTTAAAACTGATGGGTTTTAACGCACATTAAGATCTGCGGACAAACACCTATTAACTGTACCTAGGACTGCATCTTCATGGTGATTGCGCATTCTATGCAACAGCACCCAGGCTCTGGAATTCATTACCAATTGAACTCTGCAGTTGCAGTTTGCTTAATGTTTTTAAAAAGACTCTTAAAACACATTTATTTCAAGTTGCTTTAATCATCAATTGTTTTTATCATTGTACTTTTATAATGTTTTTGATTTTAGTTTTGTTTTTGATTTTCCATGTTCAGTATGATTGTGTGTGCCTCGGAATAGGTTTACCTAGATAGATGGCGCATTATATTATTATTATTATGCTTTAAAATTCCCCCTTTTTCAGCTGGTCTTTCTCAAACCTAGTGTTATATGTAACCCACACCATAAATTCTAACCGTATTGAATAATTATTGAATATTCATTGTTTATTCACAATAACAAGTGATATACTTAATGTAAGATGTACCTCATTTTTAATTACCTCATTTTTATTTGGCTAGTTATAACATTGATTTTAATCTGATTGGTTGGTTTTTATTTGCTTTCTGTTATACTTCTGTAAATATTGTAAACATATATAGATGGATGAGATTTTCTCACCAGTATTCTTGAAAATTATCAAATAGAAACGTTAAATCTTAAAATGTCTCTGTCTCTTTTCGGAGTTACTGTCTTTTTGTTTTATTTGAGATTTTGTGTTTGTGTTTATTTTTAATGCTAACCTTATTTTACCCTTGCAACTTAAATAAAAATAAACGTACTTCAACTACTTTCCGGTAGAGCTTATGTTGACTTTCATTTGCAATCATGCAACTATAAGCAGCTGCATGCAACTATAAGCAGCAGCATGCAACTATAAGCAGCTGCATGCAACTATAAGCAGCTGCATGCAACTTATATTTTGTTTACAACTCAAAGCTGTATTTTAATGCTGTGTTTTCACATTTTATTACCATATTACCAAATACCATTGTCTTGATAGCTTAAAGAAGTTACATAATACCCATTTCACACTAGCAGAAAATATTACAACTTTTAACAACTATTAACAAGTTGTAACAAGTTTGATATTCCGAGATTTTTGGTTCGTTTCACACATGCACTTTCAAACCATGAGAAATATCGGGAAAACTCGGAAGAATATTATGACTAGGCCTAGAGGCCTAGGGTAGTACTAGTAGTATAGGCCTAGGCTAGTTGTAGGTTGTCCGAATTACATATCAACTACTAAACTAGGCCTGGTACCGAATTAACAAGATTATAATTATTCCATGGTCCTTTGCCTTCGGAGAGTAAAACGAATTCAACTCCTAGCTCGCTTGCTGTAGTCGAGCTGGCGAGAAAGATAGGCCTAGGCTAGCTAAGCGCAGTCGGGCCGCCGGCCGGTAGCTCACCATTGTTGTTAGAGGCAATCAGTGCGACAGGCATCATAATGATTCGCTGTCGGCGTTTTTTACGAAGCCTCGTGATTGTTTCTACATCAGACATGTGAATTTAGCGAGATTTCTTTTGATTTTAGGTCTAGGCCTATTAACAATGGTAGTAATGTTGATACGTTTTCCATCGCTGCCGCCATTCGTTCGAACTAAACAAAAAAAAAAAAAACACACAACCCGCAAAAAGGTCAAAATATGGACATGCGCAACAACAACTCGGAAGATTCTGGGAAAAAAACAGGCCTCTCGATGGTCTGTTTTTGTTCCGAGATAACTCAGGGGACCCCAGTAAAATCTCAGAAAGTTTACAAGGATTTTGCTTTCACACTCATCCAAACCTGGTTACAAGTTGTTAATATTTGCAAAATAGCATCAGTGTGAAATGGGTATTAGTTTACCAATCTTCATTTTATAATTATATATTAGAAAATGAAGATTCCATGTTTGCTTCGATAAATAAAAAGTAAAAACACAGAATACAGCTTTAAGTTGTAATCCTAATATAATCGATTAAATCACAAATATTTCAAACACAATCTGTTTCTCTTATTATTTAAATGTCATCAATACCATTTACTTTTTACTTTACCATATTGTATTTCTTGTCAGTTTTCCTCACACTGATAAAGAATACATGTTACATTTGAAATATTTGGGATTTAATAAAGTATATTATGTATGTCTACAACTTAAAGCTGTATTTTATTGCTGTGTTTTTACATTTAATGTATCATTCATCATTAAATAATTTGTGCTTCATTGCAGTTGACCATACAAGGGTGCAGTTGACAGATTCTGATGGTGGTGATTATATCAATGCAAACTATATAGATGTAAGTAGTGCAATGACTTCTAGTCAATATATTATTATTATTATTATTATTATTTGTTGTTGCTGCTGTTTGTGTTGTTGTAGTATTATATGATATTACTGTATGTTGCAGATTTAAGTACATAATGTAAATGGCAAAATTTTGAAAGTGGACTTCCACACAGGTGTGTAGTTTGGGATACACATTTGAGGCGGGAAAAAAACTCGCAGTATTTTTATTACAGACCTTTTACAAGATAGTGCACACGGAAAATTAAGACTAGTGTAGTGTTTTTGTTTGCTTTATATAATTGTCATCTGCTCCTTTTTTTTCATAAAGCATGTACCATCATGCATAGTAAAATAAATCCTGCCATGTTTTTATCCAGTGATTACACATCACTACCTTTCTAAACCAATCTACACGCCTGGAAAAAATATTTTTGTGCCTTTGACCATGAAAATTATCTTAATCATTGCCTCTAGCACCAAATGTAATCTTTACACTACTATAGCTAAACAGTAGTACATTTAGTGGTTTTGGAGCAAGCATAAATATCAAATTTAATTACTGGTAAGCATTAAATTGTGATGTGTAACCAAAAAAAAAAAAAATTCTAAAATGCCTCTGGGGTAATGGTCAATGCCTCCGACTGAATGTTGCGCACTTTTTCCAGCCCTGCCAAACTAATAGCCCTGCTTCAGAAAATATGTACGACATAGCAGGATCATGTCTTTTAACATTAATTACCATATTTCAGTTAAGTATTGTACAGTTATTTAAACGAATCTTCTCAAACCTATGCCTCATTGATTCAGTGTTAAAACATATGGCCAGTTTTTCCTCAATCATTTCTGTCTTCCTGTCTATGATTTTTTTCAGTTACTTTAGAAAGTTCCTACTCTTTGATTCTGTTTTCATTCATTAGTCTGTCAATCATCACTCTTTTTCCTCTGCCTTCTCCGCTGTACCATAGGAGTAATGCTCGTAGTGCAGTCTTTTCTCAATATTCCCACTTTGCTTTGCTGTTTCAGTGATTCTTTTTGGACCCTTTGGCCAATCATTCCTTCATCTTCCTTCTCTGCCTTTTCTCAATATTAACTAATATTCACCTTCTGCCTTTCCTATCTCATTCAAGCACGGCTACACTTATGCAATTTTTGCGGACCTCAGTGCAGGTTTATAATGAAGAATGCCACTAATTTGAGAGCGCAACACTTATTATTCATTATTAAGTAGCATGTGTTTCCAGTGTTAGAATTGTACAATTTTGTACATAGGCCTGTCCGACTTGTTACAACATTGGAATTATTTAGTGTATGAATAATTGGTTAGTGTTCATGTGGAATATCAAAGCATGTAGAGTAATACACTAATAAGCACTGCAGTGCATTTAAAAACAGCACATTTGGTGAGATGTTTATGGGATCATTTACAGCCACTGTAATATGTAATATTAAGCCAATTGGCAGGTTTTTCCCTCCAATTTTCCTTTTCAAAACCTTGTTTTATAAAATAATATTTAATTTTGCTGTATTTTGTTTGTGTTCACTGTTATGTAGATGAGTAAAGCACAAGCTATGCAGCAAATGGAAGGCCTGATAGACAAGCTAGACTCTCATTGGGACAACATGAAAAAATACATAGCAACCCAGGGTTGTCTCAAGGATACAGTAGTTGACTTTTGGAGAATGATATGGCAAGAAAATTCAAGGATAATTGTCATGACAACAAAAGAGGTTGAGAGAGGAAAGGTTAGATGCTTTATCCTTTATTGTTTAAGAATTTCTTTTCCTGCTCTAAAATGGAATAGTCAATAAACATTACTGTACTATACCTTTCAATAAACAAGTTAGAAAAAAGGAGACTTAACAGACACATGCTAAGACTACCAGAACAGACACCAGAAAGACAGCATTGAAAGAAAACATGATAAAAGCAAAAGAAAACCGAGGAAGACCTAAACACACTTGGATCAAAAAATAAAAAATAAAGACCTCAAAACAATCAATATTTTGAGTAATTATGATTGTGAGACGCTGAACTGAAAGAGAGTGTTGGCAAGGCTAATGGCTTGACTAAGCTGTAAAGATCGAAAGAAGAAAAAGCATCTAACTTTCTGTCTCATGAACTGGTGTGTGTGGAGCAGAGCTGACTTCACACTTTCTTGGGTACAGATGGCACATATACAAATTTAAAACAATTTTCAGCTATGATAATTTCTCTGTTTCTATTTTAGAATATGTGTAAATGATGTAATTGTATGAAAGTTTCAAATGCTATAGCTGTTCAGTTGGTAGGGAATGGAAATGATTAATTAATATAACAGAATATTTTCCTTTATTTTAGAATAAATGTGTGAAATATTGGCCTGATCGTGGAAATACCAAAACATGGAATAAGATCTGTGTGACTTCAGATAAGGAACAATCAATGAATGACTATGTGCTACGTCAGTTCTCAGTCCAACATTCAGACTATGTAAGCTTATTTTACTTGTAATTTTCATCTCATAATGGATAATAAATGATTCTCACTTTCAAAGTGAATGCATTTAATTAAAGCTATAATGTTGATTTGATTGTTTTAATATCAAAATAAAATGCTGGCAAATTCAATTATGTAAATTAAGATTGCGTAAATTTACATAATTTACGTAATCTTAATTTACATAATTGAAAATTAAGATTGCGTAAATGTTTGCGATCATTGACTATATAAACAGATATTGGCTACAAGTATCCGAAAACAAGATATTCATACTGTATTGCAGATATCAATTCGTAATAGATATTTATTGGATAACACTTTTTTAATAATAGTCCAGCACATCCTAGTCTTATAGTAGAAGCATATAGGTTGTGCCTTAGACTCCCAACCTTGAGGTCGGGGGTTTGAAACTATCGCTGTGCAAATTACTTGTGTCCTTGTGCAAGGCACCCCAGGAGTACAAGTGGGTACCTGGCAGGTTCCAACACAACTGCACTGATTACTAGCTGCAATATTATGGAATAATAATATAATTTAATTTAATAATTTAATTTGGTGTTGAGTATGTGTTCCATATGTGTTTGATCCAATGATCAGTGTTGTAATGCGAAGCACTTAGAGGCTTTGTGCATGAAGTGCTATATAAGAATGACATATTATTATTATTATAGTCCAGTACACCTAATCTTCTATAACTGCACTCATTAGCATGGTTCACGTCGAACTTTTATCTAGATATACATCCACTTAACTAGTTAAAAGTTCGACGTGAACCACTCAATTATAGCTAGATAAAGGAATTAAGTCACTTAACTTTACTAGAATAACCGTAAATTAACTTGCTTAAATTTAGAAGTTGGCTCGGATTACAAATATCACATTTTTTTTGTGTCACCTGCATATAAGCTGCACCTACTGTATTTTTAAGCTCCGAAATCGTTCCCAAAATGTTAAGTTTTTAATTATTTTGAAACATTGATATTATTTACAAATGTGAATAAAGAAATTTCAAGTTTATCAACCGATTATTAATTAAAAAAAACAACTGGAAATGTGTGTATACTTCTGGATAACTGCAATGAAACAACATACCGTGTTAACTTCAGGGAAATCCCCATTTCTCATTACCAGACAGTCGTGCTGCCTTAAATTTTCTATGATCATTTTCGTTAAATAAAATCAAATACAATAAAATACTTTGTGAGTACAGTGTATTTATCTATCATTCAATCAATCATTCTATTATTATGGTGACATTAGACATTGAGCAAAAAATATTGGTAATTAGCACAAGGCACAGTTCCATCCCAATGGAAGGACGCTAGTGTCGTCCCTCTTCCGAAACAGAATCCCCCCAAGTTGATAAACTTTGACCAATATTATTGACTCCCACTTTAGCTAAAGTGGCAGAGCGTAGGGTGTCATAATTATTGTTAAAGCTATCAACCTTTTATTGACCCTTGATAGTTTGGTAATCAGAAAGGTTTGTCTACGACTCATTGCTTGATGGAAGTCTACAAAAAACTTACAGTATATCTCATGCGGAAACCCATAATACTATTAGCACGCTAGCACTAACAGATTTCACAAAGCATTTGATTTTATTGATCATCACATTACAGACCTCTTAGTATGAATGTTGCTCCTCTTATCATGAAATGAATTATCAATTTTTTTTCTCAGAGAAAACAAAGAGCCAAATATGTGAATGTTTTTTGCTCTCTGATCATAATATGTATACAGTAGTATGTTCACTTAAATTTGGTGAAATATAGATGCCAAAATACTTAGTTATTGACTACTGTTATTGATTTGTCCCCTAATTTCTACTTTTTAGACCACTCGTTAGAGTGAGTGGTCTTACACCATCGTGTTTGAGGACAAAACAGTTGCTATCAGAGGCTTCATTTCTCACGATGTTTGTCTGTAATCAGTGGTATATTGAAGAGACAGCTTGAGAAATTAAAAGTATGAAAAGATTTTGGGGAAAAGAGATTGGGAAATTTGTCAGTAGGACAAACAATGGTGGAGGAACTCAAACTACTCATTTAGACATTAAAACACATGTTTTTAAATTGCGCAAGTCACTGAGCTCTTTACTGTCGTGGCTCACTCATGCATGTATCTTTGTACGCAGAACCTTATAAATCTGCTGTAATTTCCAACATATGAGCTAAAATCTACCTTTCTATATTAGAGGTACAGCTAGTGCGAAATTGGCCGACCAGCTTTAAGTATGTTATGTGGCATTAGCATGAACTCTCGTACCATAGACACTCGCTAGGCCTAAGTTTACTCTAGTAGACGAGCAAAAGGTGGAGCACATGGTCAGAATAGTGATGTGTTTCACATGACACTACACGATTTTAATCTACAGAAACCATGTGTTATGTTGTAAAAAAATACAATGGCGCGAGAGTTAGCGATTGTACAGTGCCGACGAGAGGTAAATCCTGGCAGATAGTTTTATTATTTTCCTTCAAATTCAACACGATGCTTGTTTAATTTAGATAATAATATTCTGTGAACTTGCTGGTTATTTGCTGGTTATGTTAGATGTTTTCTCTGCAGTAGGATTTGACTCGCAACAGTGCGATGTTTCGGCCTCAATATAGACAATAGGCTTATACATATCCTGTACGATGTAGTTTCCTACTTAGATCGTTCAACCTTCTGGTACAACACATTTTTTATGAAGTAACATTACGATTTTTAAATAAATATCATGAGTAAAGGTTTTAGTGGAACTCTTTTATGAGTTTAGCATTTCTTATGGTCTGCTGTAACATTACAAACAAAGACTGAACCATTTTTCAAAGACATAAAAACATAGATATTCGATTTTTCAGTACATCACATTTGTCAAAAATACGAAACTTAAGCAGAGTGAGCTACTGTACTGCATCATTGATGCTCTTGTTATCTTATGTATGCATTTTCCAATTACCATAATAGTCATTTCCTGTTTATTATCAGATGTCAAAAGATCATCGTTTGTCAAAAAGAGCCCTGGTATCTAAATACAATTCACTGTGCATGTCCGACAGCAGGGTCTGCACCAAGGGGCCGACTAGAACTTTGGTCATGGTCCCGGAATAAAAATCTCTAGTAAGGTTCATTGCAGAGTTTTTGTGGCTTGTATGGGCAAAATTGTGCTTCTAGTCCATAATATTTGGATTAGGAATCAAAATAGCATTATATAAATAGTCAAAATATTTTTGATATGACGACTTCGGCATGGCGTCGGACGACAGGGGTCCACCTTATTCCTCGTTCCCCTTGTTTAGATGACAACCCCAGTATCTTGGATGAAGGATGCTGTCCTCTGGAGATCCTTTGGCGTTCCATAAAGTTTATGGTGTATGGTTGTTGGTTTTTGCCAAGTTCGATTCCCTTCCATTACAAAAACTGGACAGTTCTATAGAATGTGGTCTGGCCCGACACCACAGGCACTGTATAAATCCAGAATTATTATTATTATTGTTATTATTATTATTATTATTATTATTATTATTATATATGAACCTCCAATACCAAACTTAGTGTGTAAGTGGTGGTTGAGACCATTATGACCTGTTCTCAGTCTGAATAACTTGTTCTGATCTTTTTGACAGATAGTGATAGCTGTCATTTGGGTTGTGGCCGGGATGTCGCATGATCTGTTTGCCTGTTTATGACCTCTTAACAACAGCACACCTAGTTCTGTACACCTAGGGTGTGTTTCTACTGATAAACACAAAATAATCAATTTTTTTCAACCGATTTTTTAATGAGTACCAGACAGCCTGCTCGCGTTGCAACTGCATTTTTCATTTTTCAAAAATTGGTTTTCGTGTTTATACAACACGTTGTTTTCCTAACTGTATAGGATAGTATCTTTCTCATTCCTGTCATGATGACGAGGAGTAAGATACGGTGTGGGGCTAGAAGGCAAATGTTTTTGGCTGTGCTCATCGGCACAATGAACGAGCGACCAAACGAGGACAATGGTAGGCCCTATAGAGCGGAGAGGCCTAAGCCCAATAGCGCCTCACAAAATATTTCCAAAACGAATTCGTCGCTCCATATGTTTGTTGATGTTTTTAGCTTGTAGGCCTAGGACATGAACAAGAGGACACATTTTTTTAAACTTCGCGCCTAATACGATCTAGTCTTTGCAGTGATTGACCTGGAGGTCACATTTCACCTGATTATCGCTTTTTTTGTGTTGCAGCTAAAATTGGTTATTTGCCGTTCAAACATACTATCCATTGCGTGTTTTTAATCGATTTTTTTAAATCACTTTTTTCAAACTGGTCCTGTTTCTACTGCGAAAATAAAAGTGATTTTTCGAAAAAAGTGATTTTTAATCGATTATTTCTTTCCAGTAGAAACAGGCCCAAGTCTATTACAGCACACCTAATCAAGTACATAGTCTTCCATATCAGCACACCTAATCCAGAAAATTTTGTCTACTGCATCACAGCACTCATTGTCCAATACACTATAATCTTCCATAATAGAACACCTACTATGGTCTAATACACCTAGTCTTCCCTAATAGCACAACTAGGCCTGTATACTTTCGTCTTCTATAATACTAACAGTATACCTAATCCAGTACATAGTCTTATAACAGCACACCTAATCCAGGACATTTTGTCAATCTGCATTACAGCCTTATTACAGCACACCTACAGCTGTAGTCCAGTACCTAGTCGCTCATTGTCTAATACACTTAGTATTTCATAAAAGCACTCATTGTTCAGTATACCTAATTTTCCTAATACCAAAAAACCTTAGTAGATTTAGCGCTATGTCTGTTAGCTTAATACTTTTAGTTAGTAGTTTTTTTTGTAGAATTTTTTGATGTTTTTAAGTAGATTTAAATAGGTAATTGCCTCATTTGTATATTTCGTAAGACCAGAAACTACTAACGTCTATTAAAGTCAATCGTGATGTCATCATTGTATCTCCCAATGTTATTTCCTACCCCAACCGTGCACTAATTT